AGATGCCCTCTGGAGAAGACACTAGGTAGCGGTGACCTTTTGGACGCCATCGAGTTTGCTTTGCACATGGTGTGAACCTTCCAAAGCCATCGAGTACTCCATCGACCAGTTTGGTGTTGTGTTTCACGTGGTCGTGATGCACGGGGCATCACCCCTCACATATATAGCACTGCGGCCATGTTCTAAATAGCAGGCTAAGACATTTAGCGATCATGCTTCTCAAATAGCTAATAGTGGGCTCAATTGGGCTATAGTGGCTAAAAGCAGCTAAATTGTACATAGAAGCAAATAGCTTTCTCCTTTGCAAACAACTATACCTAGAGATAGCGGCGGATAGTGAGATTTAGAACCTTGACTGCGGGCTTGGGGGCCACACCATAGATGACTTAGGGTTGCCGCTGATCACGGCGAAGCTTATCTAGTTGGATATGGACCTGACAGGTGGACTAAAACTAAACATTAACTTGATCTCGTGATTAGCTGATATCACCTTCCAACAACCTACAGTAGGTACTAGCACATACTCTCTCAGTATCTGAGTAAATCATTTCTTAATTAACTAAGTGTGTTTCTACTACCCATGCAGTTTTTTTTAATATATGCAATAATTGATTGCTCTGCCTCTCTTTGAGCATGCAGCTAGGCATGGCAAGCGCTCTAGACACACTCTGCGGCCAAGCGTTCGGCGCGCGGCAGTACTATCTCCTGGGCATCTACAAGCAGCGCGCCATGTTCCTTCTCACCCTCGTCAGCCTCCCTCTGGCTGTCGTCTGGTTCTACACCGGCGAGATCCTCCTCCTGTTCGGCCAGGACGCGGACATCGCCGCGGAGGCCGGCACGTACGCCCGGTGGATGATCCCGTTGCTCTTCGCCTACGGCCTGCTGCAGTGCCACGTCCGGTTCCTGCAGACGCAGAACATCGTGCTGCCCGTGATGGCGAGCGCCGGCGCGACGGCCGCGTGCCACCTGGTCGTGTGCTGGGCGCTGGTTTACCCGCTCGGGATGGGCAGCAAGGGCGCGGCGCTGAGCAACGCCGTCTCGTACTGGGTCAATGTGGCGATACTGGCCGTGTACGTGAGGGTTTCCAGCGCGTGCAAGGAGACGTGGACCGGCTTCTCCACGGAGGCCTTCCGTGACGCGCTCAGCTTCTTCAGGCTCGCGATCCCGTCGGCTCTCATGGTCTGGTACGTCGTTCATGTCTTGATGAAGTTTATGAGTGGCTAATAATCGCATTTGCCATGCCACATTGATGAGGTTGCATTGCATTGCAGCTTGGAAATGTGGTCGTTTGAACTCATTGTGCTCCTTTCGGGCCTTCTTCCTAACCCACAATTGGAGACCTCCGTGCTATCGATCAGGTTGCAATTTGAAGTTACTGATTGTTCCAAGCCAAGGTTTATTTATGCGAATTCCTCCACATTGCTGAACATAAATGAAAACAAATGGCATTTTTTATTTACAGCCTCAACACTGCTACCATCGTGTGGATGATCCCCTTTGGGCTTGGCTCTGCTATCAGGTATGTAATAAACTTCTGAACCAAATCAAGCCATGATCATCACCTAATATAAGATCTGCTGCTCATTGCTTGTTTTGGTGCTGCTGACTTGATCTGATCATGGTGCAGCACTCGCGTGTCCAATGAGCTGGGTGCAGGGCCGCCTCAAGCCGCCCGCCTTGCGGTGCGAGTCGTTGTGTTGTTGGCTGTCTCCGAAGGGCTGGCCGTGGGTCTCATCCTTGTGTGCGTGCGCTACGTCTGGGGGCATGCCTACAGCAACGTCGAGGAGGTCGTGACGTACGTGGTGAAGATGATGCTCGTCATTGCAGTCTCCAATTTCTTCGATGGGATCCAGTGCGTTCTTTCAGGTTCAGAGTTTGAGCTACTTTCCTTGCATCTTTCAGAAATTCAACTGTTATGGAGTTTCTACCAAATTCGTGCATTCCAAACAGACCACGAAATTGCGTTCGTTCTCTTTTGATGCGATTGTAGGTGTGGCTAGAGGCTGTGGATGGCAGAAGATCGGTGCCTGCACTAACCTTGGCGCCTACTACATCGTGGGCATCCCGTCTGCGTACATCTTTGCTTTCGTCCTGCGTGTCGGTGGGACGGTGCGGTTTCCAGCTTCTCCTAAATGAAACTATCCCCAATTTTTTTTTGCGTGACGAATGTTTCTCAGTGTTCCAGTACGTACTTATTGACTGATGTCGTTCGTTTGTCTCACTGACAAACAGGGGCTTTGGTTGGGCATCATATGTGGGCTCATGGTACAGGTCCTTCTGCTCATGATCATCAGAGTCTGTACCAACTGGGATAGCGAGGTACATATATTCTGTCTCCCACCATTTATTGACTCTCTGATCAAAGAATTGGTCCTTCAAATTGCACACTTAGATACTACAACCCCACGTTCTTATATTACTACTACTATCTACAATTTAGTATACAACTCTAATGCCTCCAAATGGAAATTTGGCTTCACCTTTTATACCATTATATAAAGGGTGCAGTATATATATCAAATTCATTCACTGTTACATTTTGGTATATTAGCAAAATAAGGGTTACAAAACTTTCTTATTATAAGTTGATTTTCGTTTATGACTGAGAACTTTGTACAGAAAATCTCACTTTGAACCTTTGAATCCATATATAGGCAACGAAGGCTAAGAACAGAGTGTTCAGTTCTTCCTCTCCCGCATCCGAAACCTGAAATTGAAGTGCTATCATATACACTGGTGGTGAAACCAACTGCAAACGAACTTGGAAACGCCTATACCACTTACACCAGTACTGCATGATTAGCATTGCCACTTGCAATCTGGATTTTGATACATAAATGCGTCCCTTGATTCATGCAACATATTATAGCAGAAGCAGGGACATGGAAAGCTGCTCATGCAATAGCGTGTAACACAAGGATTTAGGAATATTTATCGCAAAAAAATGGATTTAGGAATATATGCCACCATTGTCCTCCAAATGGCCGCATCCTACAAAACTTGGGTAATCCCAAGACCCATATTTTTTTAAAGTGGGATGAAAAAGACATGCCATTACTTATGGTCGCCAATCATGCTTGCCTATCATTTCTACCACCCACGTTATTATCGGTGCCATCTCTTGATTGAAAGGCTGTTAAATGAATGGATGTGACTTCTTATATGATGATGCTGTTACAGACAGGGATATATATATATATATATATATATATATATATATATATATATATATATATATAGAGAGAGAGAGAGAGAAGTATAGATGGTGAAGTGGAGGCACTACACCTTATTCGGGCGTCGTGCGGTGCCCGACATTTTGGCCTAGGCAAGCAAGGCGACCCAATAGGCTTGTGCTAGCCCCGCCACTATAGGAGCCACCGTCAGTTCTTGCATAGCGCTACTGTTGCCATCACCGCCGCGCAAGGGTTGATGTTGTAGTTCCTGCACCGTGTGGCTGCGCTACGCTGCCATCATCGCCGACTTGTAGCCATAGCTAAGAGAGGCCGAGAGCGGTGCCCGTCCACCTAGGCAGTGGAAGGGATGACCAAAGAGGGCCAATGGGTTGGGGTGGACCGAAAGGGGAGTGGGGGAGGGGGAGGGTTAGCGGAGCAGGGTGGATCACCGTATCGGGAGGGGTGTGAGGTGGAACGGAGCCGGTCAAATTGTCGATCAGGAAGGTCTATGGAAGGGTGTGCGGCTAAGCGGAGCAGTATCGGAAAGGAGGAGATGGTGGCGGAAAATTCGGTGAAGTGAGGGTGGTGGTTTCTAATTTATATCTAGGATTGAGAACGGATCGGGCCGGCATAGTACCAGCCTATTAGTCGTGTCCTGCGTGGACTGGCAATATGAACCGGCTTGCCGGCTTAGTCACAACCTTACGCTAGTGTCCTGCCGGTGCTAGCACTATAGCCATGCATGTGGTAGTGCCATGCTTTTAGGGCCTGTTTGGTACAACTCAATCAACTTTTGTTAGCTTTCGCTCAAAAAGCAGCTTTGTTAGTAGAGCTGAAACGGTTTTGATGAGTCGTTTGGTAAAACAGCTTCTCATAGTACCAAAAATATTAAAGCGTCCATAATAATACCCATGTCTTTTTTTATGTTTCTCAATTTCCGGTATCTCTTTCCTTCCTTTATCCGCTCACACGGTCCTTGCCGCACGCATGCGCCATGCCACATCTCCGACCGTCCCCGTCCCCGTCCCTCTCCCCGGCACAGGCCTCTACTCCCGTCTCGGCGACCTACACCCTCGTCCCCGTACTCGGCGACCCACCCCCACGCCGCGGCATCCGCCCCCCCAAGCTGACATTTGCTCCCACGCCGGGATCCACCACTTCGCCGGACTTCGCTTCCACGCCGGTGTCTGCCCCCGCATCGATCGGCAACCCATTCCAGCGCCGGCACCCGCTTCCTCGCCGGGATCTACCACCACGCCGACCGCCGCTCCCACGCCGAGCTCCACCACCGCGAAGGGCTCCGCTCCCGCATTGGCTTCCGCCACCGTGCCGGGCTCTGCTCTCGCGCCGGCATCCGCCTGGAGGGCAACTTCGCCCATGGCAATGCTAGGACCCACCCACGTCATAAGAAGTCGGATGAAGCTACTTTCTTCAGCTTCACCATCTACCTTTTGCATGTGAGAGCACATATTCCGAAGATTGTGAGGTGAAGCTATTTACTGGCAACCGTTTGATAGAGAAGTGGCAAAACGGCTTTGTGAAGCTGTGCCAAAATCTCTACCAAACCGGCCCTTATGATGGTGACTAGGCCACCCAATAAGCCCGGCCTATTTGGCCATCTACATATACAACATACAGCAGTATAGCTACAGCTGTAGCCTATAGGGTTAGCATCCAGTTAAGATCCAGGAACACTAAGGAGCAAACTTTTCGGTCATTTATGATTTATGTTCCTACTAGTCCTGAAAAGAATCGAGCACTCTCATCCGAAAATAAATACCAGGAAATAGAGAGCAAGTAGGCGAATACGAAAACTGACGCTTAGCGATGGCGAGGAGTGGCAGTGAGGAAGCTCTCCTCGCTGCTGGCCGATCCAAGGAGAATCTGGACGTGCGAGAGGAGGTGAAGAGGCAGCTATGGCTGGCGGGGCCGATGATTGCCGGAGGGCTCTTGCGGTACGTGATCCAGATGATCTCTGTCATGTACGTCGGCCACCTCGGTGAGCTACCACTCGCTGGCGCCTCCATGGCAAACTCCTTCGCCACCGTCACCGGCTTCAGCCTGCTGGTATGTACCTTCGAGATGACCTTCCTGACGTCGATGGTCTTTGCCTCATTTATGTGGCTAATCTATACGCGTTGCAGTATTTGAAATTAATTAGTTTCCACGACGGAAATTCCATCGTTTCCATGATACTAAATCATCCATTTATGATCCAAATCGTTCCACAATTTTTACTGTTAGATTCCATCTTCTAGCGAGAGAGGTACTTGATCTTCGTGAAACTATTCATCATCCTCTTTAAATATTTAGTAGCAAATATATTCGTGTGTTGTAATGCAACATACAACTTGTTGCATGATTATTCGGATGACTTCTCAAAGATTTACGCAATAATTGTCTCGTCTGTTGTAATATGGTTTCAAATCAGGCCCTGTTAAGTTTCCAAATTTTTTTTTCCTCCTACGGTAAAAGAGCATGTTTGGACACATGTATAGAGTACTAAATGTAGACGAAAAAAAAACTAATTGCATAGTTCTCGGCAAAATCGCGAGACGAATCTTTTAAGCCTAATTAGTCCATGAAAAGCCTTAAGTGCTACAGTACCCCCACATGTGCTAATGACCGATTAATTAGTATCATTAGATTGCTAATGACCGATTAATTAGTATCATTAGATTCGTCTCGCAGTTTTCTGATGGGTTCTGTAATTTGTTTTTTTTATTAGTATCCAAAAACCTCTTCCGACATCCTTCCGACATATCCAACGTGACACCCAAAAATTTTCACCTCCCCAACTAAACACATCCTCAGATTCTGTACCATGGCTAGACGCACGCTATTCTAATTCATACGAACACGTGTTATGGATAGAAAAGAAAGGTGCACGAGAGCATTGTGGAAAGTAGAATATGACTAACAGGTCTACTTCTAACTTTAATTTTAGAGATAGATAAATAAATATGTTCCTTGAATTTTCTTAATTAAGTCCATCTTTGGGCATTTTGGCAATCGCAAACATATTGCAAACAAGCACCAATTCAGCGAGATTGATTGTTTAAGATAAAGCATTCTTAATTTCCGTATGCTCGATCCAACACACCCAAACAATGACTCATGAACAATTGAGTATAGTAACTCTTTCCCTTTTGTCCCAAAAAAATGACATTCTATTCTTTTCCCAAGTCAAACTACGTTAGATTTGACAAAAAAAAACTACAAAACAGTACAAATATTTATATTATTAAATAAATGTTTATTAAAATATAGTTTCATGATATGTGTTATAAATGTTTATGATTTTCCCTATAAAATTGATCAAAAACTTACAACGGTTTGACTTAGAATAGAGTTAGAGAGTCATTCTTTTTGAATGGAGCACTACTACAGAAAGTTCATCACCGCCGGTTTCAAACCTTCCTTCACCACTGTTTTTGCCGTCGTTGGTGATAGTCGAAGGCGATCACCACTGGTTTCGAGCCGGTGGTGGTATTGTTCATCACCGCCACATCAGTGTTCAATCTGACGGTCCTGTTGTTGCAATCATTATGGTGATCATGTAGACATCAATGCTGGTCCAGCGTACCATCCATCGGTGCTGATGTAGAGATCAATGCCGGACAAGCGTACCATCCGGCGGTGATGGTGCAGACATCAACGTCGGATAGGTGTTCCATCTGGCGGTGGCGGTGGAGACATCAAAGCCAAACCGCGTACCATCTGGCGGTGATGATGGAGATATCAACGCTATAGGGGCATACCATCTGACGGTGATGATTGCGACTACATTGGTCGGCCGTATGAATCGGTGGTGATGTAGGTACCAGCGCAGCTGGTCGGTGTTCCATCAAGCAGTGTTGAGAGCGGCATCACCACCATCGTTAAGTTTGTTCCAGCAGTAATGTCTTGTCCATTATTGTCGGTGTCGGCACATTAATAATATTTATATTATTAAATAAGTGTTTATTAAAATATAGTTTCATGATATGTGTTATAAATGTTTATGATTTTCTCTATAAATTTGGTCAAAAACTTACAACGGTTTGACTTAGAATAGAGTTAGATAGTCATTCTTTTTGAATGGAGCACTACTACAGAAAGTTCATCACCGCCGGTTTCAAACCTTCTTTCACCGCCGTTTTTTTGCTGTCGTTGGTGATAGTCGAAGGCGATCACCACTGGTTTCGAGCCGGTGGTGGTATTGTTCATCACCGCCGCATCAATGTTCAATCTGACGGTCCTGTTGTTGCAATCACTATGGTGATCATGTAGACATCAATGCCGGTCCAGCGTACCATCCATTGGTGCTGATGTAGAGATCAACGCCGGACGAGCGCACCATCCGATGGTGATGGTGCAGACATCAACGTCGGATAGGTGTTCCATCTAGCACTGGCGGTGGAGACATCAAAGCCAAACCGCGTACCATCTGGCGGTGATGATGGAGACATCAACGCCGTAGGGGCGTACCATCTGACGGTGATGATTGCGACTACATTGGTCGGCCGTATCAATCGATGGCGATGTAGGTACTAGCGCAGCTGGTCGGTGTTCCATCTAGCAGTGTTGAGAGCAGCATCACCACCGTCGTTAAGTTTGTTCTAGCAGTAATGTCTTGTCCATTATTGCCAATGTCGGCACTGTAATAATGAAACAAATACTATTTGGCTTACATCGCCATCAACATATATATACAGAGACAATATATCCAAACATACATCACCACCGAGACATAAATACATACAAAAAATCCAACCACAACAACATGTTTCTGAGAACACAAACAAACATCAGATCGTCCACAATGAAACCGGCATTAAAGTGAGGAACATTAGCACCTTGATTAGATGAGAAAATGCTCTCCCTCCAGACTCATGACTTGGTCCATAATGAAACCAGCAAGCTCTTCTTGCAACCCAGATATGTCCAAATTGGTCAGCTCCGCTGTACATGACCCTAGTTTCTGCAACACAAGACAAAGGTGAACCACAGTTAAGATGTGCATTACTATACACTCTAATTAGGTTACTAGGTTGTTAATTGACTAAAGGGGCCAGGGAACAACCTCTGTGTTGGAGTAGACATCTTGGATGAGGGTGGCAAGAGAGTATTATTTTTACTAGTTATGCATTTCATAATTCCCCTTTCAAATTTGTGACATAGCTCCATAATGACATGTATTTTTGTGACAAATCAATTTATCTATTGTCTTGTACATACAAGTTATCGATCATCTATCAGTATAAGATTCATATACTGATGTGTCTATTATATATTTTTAATTTTCAAAGTTACTATGGGAAGATCACAATGAATGCACAATACATCATGGCTAGTACACTCTTTCATGGAAGAAGTGGCGAAGTTTGTTGACAACACCAAGAAACATGGTTTGAGTGAGAACCGAAATGGAATCATGTATGTTCATGCTCTAACTGCAGGAACGAGTCGACATCATATCATATGACCCATAGGTGGCTAGATAGTGAAGTCAAATCTCACTTTCATGGAAGAAGTTTCATGGAAGAAGTGGCGAAGTTTGTTGACAACACCAAGAAACATGGTTTGAGTGAGAACCGAAACGGAATCATGTATGTTCATGCTCTAACTGTAGGAACGAGTCGATATCATATGACCCATAGGTGGCTAGATAGTGAAGTCAAATCTCACTTAGTCAGGTGGTTTCGTCTAGGGCCTTTTTATGGTGAGAGAGATACGACTGATACAACTGGAACATTAGTGTAGACAGACCAAGCGGTGAAGTCTCACTTATAGTCAGGTGATATCATATCATATCATATCATATCATATATGACCCCTAGGTGTGGCTAGATATTTCACAGACGAAGTGTAACATCCCGCGTCCACAAACTACATATATGTCCCAACTCCTCACAAGAAATGGGCCAGTCGATATCATATCATATGACCCATAGGTGGATAGATAGTGAAGTCAAATCTCACTTAGTCAGGTGGTTTCGTCTAGGGCCTTTTTATGGTGAGAGAGATACGACTGATACAACTGGAACATTAGTGTAGACAGACCAAGCGGTGAAGTCTCACTTATAGTCCGGTGATATCATATCATATCATATATGACCCCTAGGTGTGGCTAGATATTTCACAGACGAAGTGTAACATCCCGTGTCCACAAACTGCATATATGTCCCAACTCCTCACAAGAAATGGCCCAGTCGATATCATATCATATGACCCATAGGTGGCTAGATAGTGAAGTCAAATCTCACTTAGTCAGGTGGTTTCGTCTAGGGCCTTTTTATGGCGAGAGATGGCTAGATAGTGAAGTCAAATCTCACTTAGTCAGGTGGTTTTGTCTGGGGCCTTTTTATGTGGGGCCTTTTTATGGCGAGAGAGATATGACTGATACAACTGGAACATTAGTGTAGACATACCAAGTGGTGAAGTCTCACTTATAGTTAGATGATATATATCATATCATATCATATCATATATGACCCCTAGGTGTGGCTAGATATTTCACAGACGAAGTGCAACAACCCGCGTCCACAAACTGCATATATGGCCCAACTCCTCACAAGAAACGGGCCAGCAGACACATAACACCCCTCCTACATTTTTATCATCGCTTCGGTTAAAAGGCTAACTTAGAGAGGTGCTACGTTTGGAGCGACAAAGATTATAAGCTAGCCCTCATGTCCTAAACTTCCAATACGGTACTAAACCCACCAACTAGGCAACTACAACTTCTTATGTGCCACATGAGTTGCTAGTACTTGTATCTATATCTATATTTATATATACCTAAAAATAAAGAGGTTAAATTTCCGCCTCTTTGGTCCCATTATTTTGGTTTGATCCTTCCTTAGCTAAGTTCGTAAATGTGAAAATTACCTGTGTCTACCTCTCTATAACTCTCCTATTTGATAACCTAGATAGATAGGTAGGAATTCTAATCAAATAGATTCTTTCGATCCTGAGGAACCCGAGTAGGAATCCTAATCTAAATAGAAAAAATATAAAAATAGTAATTAGCCAAATCTTCGTTTGTTTTTATTTTATCCCGTATTCATCTGTCCACTTTAATGTTTTGTACGTTTCCAATTGAGTTTATGCTCCATCTTTTGTTTTTTTTTTCTTTTGTTTTTCTGCGCCTATCGATCGAGTCTGTCTCGCTCGATTGCCGATCTTGTTCGTGTTCCTCTCTGTACCTTTTTTTTCCTTGCTTTGCATCCGATTGGTGTTATGTACGCTTTTGTTTTTTCCTTCTTCGGTTGTTCCCTGGGTTCCAGTTGTCTGTTTTTGTTTTGTTTTCTTGGTCTAATTCGGTCTTTTCTTTGTTCCATACCTACGAGTCCTAATCTGTTTACTAAAAATAGTAGTACATAATAAAGCAGAGATTAGAATCTTAATTGATTTATTGTCATATTCATGACTCAAACTTATTACATATATAATCATATGAGTTAGAATAGCGTACAATTCAATTAGGGTATATAGTCTAATTCCAAACGGTATTAGAATAAATGATATATGATGTAAATTTCAAGTATGTTTGCTAGCCTAATATTAAAGGGCCTATTTAGTTGGCGCCATATTTTACCACGTCTAACCTTGGGCAAATCATAGTTACCACATAAAGTGTGGCGAGCAAAATAAAAACCACAATTATGGCAAATTTTGACACGAAGGAGAGCTTATGACATGTGAGACATGGTGCTTGAAAAGTGGGGCGTGATATAGTTGTGACAATGAACTAAACAACTCCCAAAAAAACTTTAGCATAACTAACCTTTGGTGTGGCAAGTTTTAGTAAGGAACCAAACAAGCCCTAAAGAACAAAAGGATTCTTTTATCTGTCTTTTTCTCTTCTCAAAATGTCTCCATGCTTCTCTTGATTTATATTTGATAGACTCATTACTCGTGTTCATATGAGTTAGAAACACATGCATTGTGCGTTCAATGGCAATCTGAAGTCTGATCCAATACATATTGAAATAGATGGCGTGATTGTTATATAAATCGCAGAGCAAAAAATTACCTAGGTGACTGCACAACAAGATATATGTTCCGTTAGAACGTACGGACACATTTGCTAGTAATAATAATAGTTCGGATTTGTAACAGCAAACCTGTGTAAACTGTAAGCTAAGTCTAAATGAATATTTACACGAATAGAACAGCTAAGTTCCAAAGATGCTCGTTGCGTGTCGCGGTGACATACTGACATGTCAGTGCAGTGCCTTTGCTGGTCTTGCTCTCATTCTCGCTGTCTCGCAAATCACAACACGTTAACAGAGGTTGAGAGGTAAATAAAGACAGAGAAGACGAGAGATCGAAAAGGGAGCCGCGCGCTCAACCATGAAGAAGGCGGGCGTCGACAAATCTCTCCTCGCCGCAGTCCAACCCGGGGAGAACCTGGGGGTGTGCGAGGAGGTGAAGAAGCAACTATGGCTAGCGGGGCCGCTGATCGCCGGCACGCTGCTGCACAACGTGATCCAGATGGTCTCCGTCATGTACGTGGGCCACCTCGGCGAGCTCCCTCTCGCCGGCGCCTCCATGGCCAACTCTTTCGCCACCGTCACCGGCTTAAGCGTGCTGGTAAAGTACATATCTACGTACTAATAACTTGGGTGACGTATACTTCCATGCCCCAATGAAATGCTTTAGGGTCTGTTTGGGTGGCTTCCCCACCGCGCCACAACTAGCCAAAGACATTTGGGCAGCTGTTTAGATTGCGTCTGTAACTTGCTGTAGGTTTGGCACGCCGAGTTTATTCTTCCTTTAGTTTACAGTTGATTTTTCCGCAAAGTTCCGTCAAATCTCTTGCGGCTGATTTATTCGCCTCGTTTTAGCGCGCTATAAGTGCCTTGTGGCAAGGCGACGATACCTTCCAAGCATAACCTTAATACACCCAAAATTAAATTTGAGATCATGCATGAAGTTCTTGGTATCTATTTAGTCATCTTTTTTTGTGGTTCACAGGCCCAGAACTAACTAATGGTGAATAGAGGGAGTACGTTTTGATGAATGAACCAACTAATGTAGTGAAAAGAAAAAGAAAAGAACTAATTAATGGTGAATGGACGGACTACGTATTTAGTTTGACTCTAGACTGGTGACATTGATTGACTGCAATTATTGTTTTAGTGGAGATCATTGTCTGCAGTGGTCCTCCGGTTTGCTGTCCGATATTGCATTCATCTTCATCTTTGTGCCATTGCCGATACTATTATCAGTCCTATCTGAATGATTCCACCCTGTCCCTACTGAGTACTGACTCTAAGTCTTCTAGTAACATATTGTTAAGTATCTGTACCTTCTAGTAAATAAAATAAAATAACTACTCGTATAAATAAAAAACGTAAAAAGAAGAAATATTCGGTAAACGTGTACTGCTTCAGTTTTGTTTAGAACTTGTGGGGCATTTTTTCTCTCTTGCTGGTCCGTTTTAACATTTATGAGTATATAGGGATATGGGATGTAAATAGGTATCAACAATACCATCACTCTTTTATTTTTGGTATTTTGCTTGCATCCCTACTTATTATGATAATGCGGCTACCTAGCTGCCTCTGACTTAGGTAGTTGGTGAAGGACCCAAACAGCGACAGGACGTGAATGGAAGCTCAATTTTTTTTACCCGAGACTTACAGAGCTGCCGATATTCTGAATCAATCTATGAATCTCTATTGTCTGGAGCAATTCTAGCTAATATCTTGTGGTAACAGCAAACTGTCCTAGAAATTACTAGGCTAGAAAAATACTACCTCGGAGGTGAAAAAAGACGAAATTGAACACCTTCAGCAAAAAACGGCCATTTCAGCCTGAAGTCTTATCAATGTCCAATCAAGCATGCTTTAAAATCGGTGAAACTTGGTGGAGGGGTTTATAACATCATGGAAAACATACCCATGAAAAATCACCTCACTTGAAGCAAGATGCATAAAGTTGCACGGACTAGTTTTGAAACCATCCTAAGCATGTTTTGTTGTTTTCACCGAGCTTCTCTCCAAGGAAAATTTCAAACTGATTCTAACGAGCTCAGAAATCATGGAACTTTGACACACCTTGACCATCCAATTTTTGAATCTATCCCCAAGAGATCATGCCAAAAATATCAAAACTTGGCAGGGAATTTTGAAATCCCCTTCCCAAATTGGGGTTTTGTGAAAAAGGCTCAAAAGTGGGAATTGAAACTGCTAGTGGGAAATCTGTCGAAGGCACTTACTTACTATGGGTGTCTCCGAAGGACAATAGCACCTATTAACCATTCAAGAACATCTCAAAAACTGCAACACAAATATCTTCAAGAAAATTATCGAAGGAGGCAAGAAACCGAGAGTTTCAGAAGGGAGGAACTTGGGAGATGAGAGCTAGGCTTCAAGCAACGACGAGACCAAGTTCCAAGTATCCAAAACCACTCAAGAAATGCCTAGGAAATCAGATCCAACATAGATTAACAAAATCAGCCAAGAAAATGACAGAAAATTTACAAAACGAGAAAATCAGTGGATTTAAGAGGAGACAAGAGTGGTGAATGTTAGCCCATAGGATCATCGGGTCAGGTGAATGAATCACTCACCAGTCTTGTCAAGTACCCGCTAGTGTTGCCGAGCATCCACTAGCTAAGCCGACCACGAACAAGCGTTGTCCGTCCCCACACACTATGGCTAGAGGTTGAAGAAGAGGGAGAACAGAGCATACACACATAGTACAAGACACCAGCGTTAGCCCAAAGCCCTGTATGGGAGATGGTAAATCTGAACTCTCTTTACTGAGTTGTCGTGGTAGTCTATTTATACAACTCTATCTATCTAGTCCTAGTACAGCGCACATGCTGCAACAGTAACTAGATAACACAACAGGACTGACTTCTGCGCCTGTCCTTGCATGTGGCTACAATGCGGCAGGTGAACCGTTCGGCGCCTGCCTCTGCAGCGGCTACAGTACCACAGTAGGGGGCCTTTTCGACGCCGCCTACCCTTGCTGTGTGTTCATACAAGGAAACAGTATATTATTATAACAATTCTTTCCATACTCATACTGCTATCCCTTGTACCCCCTCCATGCCGATCATCTCATTTAGCTCTGTGAGTCGAAGACGTCCGAGCGTCTTGGTGAGGACGTCCGCGAGTTGCCGACCAGTTTCGACGAACTCGATGATGACCTGCCCTCCATCGACAGTCCCTGAGAAAGTGGAATTTTATGTCGATGTGTTTGCTCCGGTCGTGCAGAACCGGATTCTTCGCGAGGGCGATGGTGGGCTGGTTGTTCACCATCAATGCTGGTGGGTGAGCTTCCACGTCGGTCAGCTCGCCTAGTAGCCGGTGCAGCCACACAACTTGGCACGCCGCTGTGGCCGTCGCTACATACTCTGCCTCGCACGTAGATAGCGCCACCACCTTCTATTTCAGCGACAGCCATGAAATTGGGGCCGACCCGAGGAAGACGAGCACGCCAGAGGTGCGCCGTCGTCCGTCGATGGCCCCCGCCATGTTTGCATCGCTGAGCATAGTGAGCTGCAACCTACTCCTGCTGGTTTTGGGAAAGATGATCTCTTGATCCACTGTCCCCTTGACGTAGCGCAGCAACCACTTCACCGCAGCCCAGTGATCCTCTCTGGGATCCTCCATGAAGCGACTGACGTAGCCCATGGCGAACACAATGTCTGGCCTCGTGTGGACTAGGTAGCGCAGACCGCCGACGATGCTCTGGTAGAGTGTTGCATCCACCTTCGCCGTGGTACCGGCCTTCGTCAGCTTTAGCCGCTCCTCTATCGGAGTCACGCATGGCTTGCACTCAGCCATGCTGCTCTGCTTCAACAGCTTGGAGGCATACGCGCTCTGACCGAGCGTGAGTTCCTTCTTCCCCTGTCTCACCTCGATGCCGAGGTAGTAGGAGAGTGCGCCAAGATCGCTCATTTGAAAACAAGCCGCCATATCGCGCTTGAAGCCGTTGATGTCCTCCGTGTGCGTGTCAGTGACGATTAAGTCATCCACATACACGCCGACGATGAGCTCCTCCTTCTCCCGTTGCCGCGTGTAGAGCGCGTGCTTGGTTGCGCACCGTTGAAACCCAAGCTCACCCAGCGTGGCGTCAAGCTTGGCGTTCTATGCTCGTGGGGCCTGTCGCAGGCCATAGAGTGCCTTGCGCAATCAGAGCACCCTGTGCTCCTCTCCCTTGACGGCGAAACCTGGAGGTTGCCTGACAAAGACCGTCTCCGCCAGTTCGCCGTTGAGATAAGCCGATTTAACGTCCAAGTGATGGACGTGCCAGTCCTTTGCTGCTGCCAAAGCCAGCAGCAAACGGACAGACTCTATGCGCGCTACTGGCGCAAAGACCTCCTCGAAGTCTATGCCCTCACACTGAACAAAGCCTCGGGCGACGAGGCGTGCCTTGTGCTTGACAATGGCGCCGAGCTCGTCCCGCTTGACCCTGTACATCTACTTCAGGCTGATCGGACGGCATCCTGGAGGTGGATCAATGAGCTGCCATGTCTCGTTTTCCTCGGTTGCCTTCATCTCCTGCAGCATCACCCGTCGCCAGTTTCCGTCGCGCTCGGGTAGCGCGAATGTGGGTGGTTCCTCTGCGCTGACGAGCAGCAGCTTTTGGTCAATGAGCAGCCGACCAGCCAGGCCTGAGGCCCCTGTGCCGCCGATGATGTTGTCAGCCTGCGGAACCGCACCTCCTCACCTTCGTGGAAGGCATCCACGAACTCAGTGATGTCACTTGGAGGTGAGGCGAACTCGATCAATGTGGATGGAGTTCTCTGTTCCACCGGAGTGCTTGGCACAGCACCTGGAGTGCTCAGCACCCTGGTTGCAGTGCTCGGCACTACTTCTAGAGAACTCGTCATAACTCTTGCAGTGCTCGGCACCACTGTAGGAGTGCTCAGCCTTAGTCTTGGAGTGGTCGGCACCACTGCAAGATCTCTTGGCTTCGCTACGGGAGTGCTCAGCACCCATCCTGGAGTGGTCGCCACCACTGCAGAACCTCCTGTCACCACTCTTGGCGTGCTCGGCATCCCTCTAGAAGTGCTCGGCACTCCTCTCTGAGTGCTCGACATCCCTCCCAAAGTGCTCGGCACTGCCCCAGGAGTGCTCGGCCCTACCGCTGGAGTGCTCAGCACCTCTTCCCTAGCGTCTCCACCACTGTGGATGACCAAGTGCTCAACGACGAAGGTGCTGGTGAAGCCGCCAGCATCCCCCATGCTCGGACTGGTCTAGTCCCAAGCCGCCTTCTCGTCGAACACGACGTCGCGCGAGACAAGTACCTTGTCTCTGCGTGGGTCATAGAGCTAGTACGCCTTGGTACCCTCCACGTAGCCTAGGAACACCATCAGTGTGCTCCTGTCCTCTAGCTTGGTGAGGTTCAGCATCATCTTCCTAATGTGGCCGATACAGCCGAATGTTCGAAGGAAGGACATGCTCGGCTTGCGCCCATACCAAGCTTCGAACGGTGTCTTGCCCGTTAGGGCCTTGGTCAGAGTGTGGTTGAGGATGAACACAACCGTGGTCACCGCCTCACCCCAGAACCTTGTCGGCATGCCTTTGGCCTTCATCATGGATCGAGCCATGCCGACCACCGTCTGGTTCCGCCTCTCCACCACGCCATTCTGTTGTGGCGAGTACGGCGCGATGTAGTGTCGCATCACACCCTGATCTACGCAGTACGCAGCGAACTCCACCGAAGTGAATTCGTCGTCGCGATTAGTCCTCAGCACGCGGAGCTTCTTGGCGCTCTCGGCCTCCGCGCGTATCTTGAACTTCTTGATCGCTACCGCCACTTCATTCTTGCTCGTTAGGAGTTGTAGCCACATGTAGTGACTGCAATCATCCACGAGCAGGAGGAAGTACCACCGACCACCGTTTATAGCAGGCGTGATTGGCCCGCAGAGGTCACTATGGATGAGCTCGAGAGCATCCTTCACGCGATACTTAGCCGCCTTTGGGAATGGTAGCATCCTTTGCTTGCCGGCTAGATAGCTGTCACACAGCTCGCCTCCGTGCTTGATGTGGGGAAGCCCTCGGACCATCTTCTCTAACCGACCAAGCGCGTCGAAGCTGAGATGTCTGAACCGGGCATGTCACATCCACGGTTCCTCGGTGTGCCTTGCCGCCAGGCACACCGGCTCCTCTACCTTCAGGTCAAGCAGGTACAACCGGTTCTAGGACCTCTTCACCTTGGCAAGAAGTCGCTGCTCCCGGTCCCTGATCCTAAGGACTCTGTCCTTGATTAGTACCTCGCTACCGCGCTCATCCAGCTGACCAATGCTAATGATGCTAGAACGCAACTGCGGGATGTAATATACATCCCTTAGCGCGTGGTGCTCCCCATTCTGGCACCTGAAGATGATGGTGCTGTGCCCTTGGATTTCCACCCGTGAGCCGTCATCAAACTTCACCGTACCGGTAACATCGTCGTCGAGCTCGGAGAAGGATGCCTTGGAGCCCGTCATGTGGTTGCTGGCACCAGAGTCCAAATACTACCACTGCTCCTGGTCGGTGCCCACACGTCCGAGGTGAACTTGGGCACATGGTTCATCGAGGTTGACAGCCTTCAGGGCCTTCCCAGATCCTTCCACCGTCGTCGCCTCTTCCTTCTCCTCGGCCTCGATGTCGTGCAGTGCACAGAACGTCGCCATCAGGATAGTGGCCTCATCATCATTATCATCATCAGCTTCCGCCAGATGTGCCTCAGCCTTCTTCTCTTGCTTGCGATTTGGGCACTCCCGTGCCCAATGGCCCATCTTCCCACAGCATCGGCAGGCATTGGGGTCGACCTGCTTCTTCTTCTCCGAAGAAGCCTTGCCACGGCACTTGCCATCGCCACCGCGGCTGGAGGAGGCTGCCTTCCCGGAGTTCCTCCGAGCAGCCCATTCCTCCTCTATCAGCAGTAGTTTGCCGCTGTCCTTCGTTGCTGTCGCCTGCTCCAGGCGCTCATCCATCGCCCACAGACAGCCTGTCATATCCTCAATGGTGAGTGTGGACAAGTCCAGCATCGTCTCTATGGAGAGAGCGATCTGGATGTACTTTGCCGGTACGGAGTGGAGGTACATGGAGACCGCCCCTGCCAGCACGGAGTGGAGGTATATGGAGACCGCCTCCTCTTCGTGGATGGTGATGCCATGGCTCTTCAGCTTGCTGATGAGCGTCTGCAGGCGGAGGGAGAAGTCCTCCACCATTTCACCATCCTTGAACTTGAGGTTGGCGTACTCCTGCTTCAGAAGCTGGGCTGTCGCCTTCTTTGCGCGGTCAGAACCGACGCACATCACTGCAATAGTCTTCCATGCCTCCTTAGCCGAGCTCTTCGCCCCTAATGGCTCCCTGTACTCCTCCGGTACAGCAGCGATGATAGCCTCCAATGCTGACATATCATCTTCCTCATTGTCGGTGCCCTTGTCAACAGCATTCCAGAGCCGTCGGGCTCTGAGCTTGACCTTCATGGTCACCGACCACTCTCCATAGTTGGTGCGAGTCAGCGTCGGCCAACTGGTGCCGCTGACCTCCCGCACCGTGCGAACAACGACCTCCGGTCGTGACTAGGCAGCCACAGCAGTGCCACTGCTGTCGCCCATTTCTGAACCGCCCATCATCGCCAACGATTAGTCTGCTGACGGCGCTTGTACGGTTCTGATACTACTTATTAGCCCATAGGATCATCGACTCAGGTGAATGAACCACTCACTAGTCTTGCCGAGCACCCACTAGTGTTGTCGAGCACCCACTAGCTAAGCCAACCATGAACAAACGTTGTCCGTCCCCACACACTATGACTAGAGGTTGAAGAAGAGGGAGAACAGAGCATACACACACAGTAACAAGACACCAGTGTTGGCCGAAGCCCTGTATGAGAGATGGCAAATCTAAACTCTCTTTACTGAGTTACCGTGGTAATCTATTTATACAACTCTATCTATATATTCCTAGTACAGTGCACATGGTGCAACAGTAACTAGATAACATAGCAGGACTGACTTCTGTGCCTGTCCCTGCATGTGGCTACAGTGCGGCAGGTGAGCCGTTCGGCGCTTGTCTCTGCAGCGGCTACAGTACCACAGCAGGGGACCTTTTCGGCGCCACCTTCTCTTGCTGTGTGTTCACACAAGAAAGCAGTAGATTATTCTAACAGTGAATTCCACACAATTTTCTTGAGGACTAAGAAATCATGAATTCACCTATAATTGGCCTAGCTCCCAACGTCCTCCCACTCATGTGAAGAAAAAGACTAAGAGATGGCTATATCTCCTATCTCTTGCCTTGCACTTGAACTCTTGGCTAACCATAGAAAATGAAAGAAGTGGATGGAGTGGCTGTCTTGGGCAGCCACTTCATTTATTTATAGAGCTAATTCACATTCTAAGAATGTCCCTACATTTAGATAAGAGTCACCGGCCACCAAAGACAAAAATGGTCCAACTGGTCTTCCATGCATCACACCGCAACATGGTCTAGTTTCATTCTAAATCAACCGCAATACCCGCAGCAGCGTGCATGCGGGGTATGCTTCTAGTTTATTAGTGTCACACGACCTCCATAGAAACCTTCCCAATTATTGAATCTCTTCTCAAAGCATGCATCCACTCTACTCCAATTCTTAATTTCTCATAATAATGAGAATATCTAAATACTAAATGATTGCAAAATTGCCCAATCTACAGCCAAAATGGCTCCTTGTATTGGCCTAATGCATTTTGGGCATCGGCAAAGTACTACAACATGTTTTATGAAAATTAATTTTAAGACATGACATCTGGTCAAACACACTAAGCAATAGCGTTTCAGATCAAGGGTTTTTTTCTACATCATGGAAGGAGTGGTGGGTGTTTGGCGACCTATGACCTTCCATATGTTCCAGCAGCGTACCCAACTTAATTAGTGTATTGTGTTCAAGTTGGGGCATGTTTTTTGTTCGACCAAAACTGAAGGAAAACTACAATTCAATTTGGTTTTCACGTACCACTAGATCCAAGTTGATCACCACACAGTTTTTCCTGTCCTGACCAGCTTGGCATGGCGAGCGCTTTGGACACCCTGTGCGGCCAAGCCTACGGAGGCAGGCGATACAATCTCCTGGGCATCTACAAGCAGCGCGCCATGCTGCTGCTCACCCTCGTCAGCCTCCCTCTGGCTGTCGTCTGGTTCTACACCGGCGAGATCCTTCTCCTGTTCGGCCAGGACGCGTACATCGCTGCGGAGGCCGGCACCTATGCCCGGTGGATGATCCCGGCGCTCTTCGCCTACGGCCTGCTGCAGTGCCACGCCTGGTTCCTGCAGACGTAGAACATCGTGCAATCAGTGATGGCAAGCGCCGGCGCCACTGCGGCTTGCCACCTGGTGGTGTGCTGGGTGCTGGTGTAAGCGCTCGGGATGGGCAGCAAGGGCGCCGCGCTGAGCAACGCCATCTCCTACTGGGTGAACGTGGCCGTGCTAGCCGTGTACGCGAGGGTTTCCGGCGCGTGCAAGGAGACGTGGACCGGCTTCTCCACGGAGGCCTTCCGTGACGCGCTCAGCTTCTTTAGGCTCGCGATCCCATCCGCTCTGATGGTCTGATACGCGATCAATACACATGTATGTTTGCATCGATCAGGTTCTACGGTGGTGTTGTACATATGGCACTACTGACGGTGCAAATTGTTGGCCCACAGTTACCCTCCTTACCACTACAGATAGCCTCCAGATCACTACAGATAGCCTTCAGATCAACGAGATGGTCTCCAGACCACTCCAGATAGCCTCCAGACCACTACAGATAGCCTCCATACCACTCCGTTGGTCTCATAGGATCACCGGCTCACGACAGTGAACCACTCTAGCCGATCTTACCGAGCACCGGCTCAGGCGAGTGGAGCACTTGACGGTCTCGTCGAGCACGCGCTAGTGTTGACGAGCACCCACTAGCCGTGCAGACCACGTACCGACGTTGTCCGTACCCACACACTACGGACGGAGTTGGAAGAAAAAGGAAGAACAGAGCAAGCACGCACAATACAAGACAACAGCGTTGGCCGAGGCCCTGTCTGTGTGATGGTAAATCTGAGCTCTCTTTACTGAGTTGCCATACATGTCTATTTATACAACTCTAACTATCTAGTCCATGTGCAGCGCCCATGCTGGCACAGTAACTAGATAACCTGATAGGGCTGACTCTGCGCCGGCCACTGCCTGTTCCTACAGTGCTGCAGGTGAGCCGTGTGGCGCCTGCACCTGCAGCGGCTACTGTATCACAGCAGGGGGCAAAGTCGACGTCGCCTTCCCTTGCTATGTTCACACACAGCAGGCGGCTAAGTCGGCGTCGCCTTCCTCTGCTGTGTTCATACAAGGTGGCAGTAGATTAGCTAACAATCTTCCCTTAATCCTACTGCTAACCCTTGTACTCCCTCCATGCCGATCATCTCCTTCAGCTCCGTGAGTCGAAGTTGTCCGAGCGGCTTGGTGAGGACGTCTGCGAGCTGCCGAGCAGTTTCGACGAACTCGATGACGATTTGCCCTCCATCAACACAGTCCCTGAGGAAGTGAAACTTTACGTAGATGTGTTTACTCCGGTCGTGTAGAACCGGATTCTTCATGAGGGCGATGGCGGGCTGGTTGTCCACCATTAGTGCTGGTGGGTGAGCTTCCACGCCGGTCAGCTCGCCCAGCAGCCGGCGTAGCCACACAACTTGGCACGCCGCTGTGGCCACCGCTACGTACTCTGCCTCGCACATAGATAGCGCAACCATCTTCTGTTTCAGCGACAGCCATGAAATTGGGGCTGACCCGAGGAAGACGAGCACGCCAGAGGTGCTCCGTCATCCGTCGATGTCCCCCGCCATGTCTGCATCATTGAATACCGTGAGCTGCAGCCTACTCCCGCCTGTCTTTAGGAAGATAATTCCATGATTAACCGTCCCCTTGACGTAGCGTAGTAGCTGCTTCACCGCAGCCCAGTGATCCTCTCTGGGATCCTCCATGAAGCGACTGACGTAGCCCACGGCGAACGCAATGTCCGGCCTCGTGTGGACTAGATAGCGCAGACCGCCGATGATGCTCCGATAGAGTGTTGCATCCACTTTCGCCGCGGTGCTGTCCTTCGTCAGCTTCAGCCGCTCCTCCATCGGAGTCACGCATGGCTTGCACTCCACCATGCCGCTCCTCTCCAACAGCTTGGAGGCATACGCGCTTTGCCCGAGCGTGAGTTACTCCTTTTCCTGTCTCACCTCGATGCCGAGGTAGTAGGAGAGAGCACCGAGATCACTCATTCGAAAATGAGCTGCCATCTCTCTCTTGAAGCTGTTGATATCCTCCATGCGCGTGCCGGTGACGATTAAGTCATCCACATACACGCCGACCACGAGCTCTTCCTTCCCCCGTCGTCGCGTGTAGAGCGCGTGCTCGGTTGCGCACCTTTGAAACCCAAGCTCGCCTAGCATGGCGTCAAGCTTGGCGTTCCATGCTCGAGGGGCTTGCCGCAGCCCGTATAGCGCTTTGCGCAATCGGAGCACCCTGTGCTCCTCTCCCTTGACAGCGAACCCTGGAGGTTGCCTGACGAAGACCGTTTCCACCAGCTCGCCGTTGAGGAAGGCCAATTTAACGTCCAAGTGATGGACGCGCCAGTCCTTTGCTGCCGCCAAAGCAAGTAGCAAACGGACCGACTCCATGCGCGCTACTGGCGCAAAGACCTCCTCGAAGTCGATGCCCTCGCGCTGGACAAAGCCTCGAGCGACAAGGCGCGCCTTGTACTTGACAATGGCGCCGAGCTCGTCCCTTTTGACTTTGTACACCTACTTCAGGCTGATCGGACGGCATCTTGGAGGTGGATCGACGAGCTGCCAAGTCTCATTTTTCTCGATCGCCTTCATCTCCTCCAGCATCGCCCGTCGCCAGTTTCCATCGCGCTCAGCTAGCGCAAACGTGGGTGGTTCCTCTACACTAACGAGTAGCAGCTCTGCGTCGTTGAGCAGCCTACCCGCCAGACCTGAGGGACCTGTGCCGCCGACGATGCTATTAAGTCTCAGGCTCTCGTAGATTTTGTCGCCAAATGGACGGAGGTCCAGCTACCGACCCCGGGCGTCACCCACGAGTACTGGACAATGTATTTCGATGGGTCCGTAATGGCGCCCGGCTTGGGGGCCAGAGTGGTTCTGATCTCCCCAGACAGGAGTAGGCTCCGCTACGCCATCCACCTCCACTTCTCAGCTTCAAACAATGCCGCAGAATACGAGGCCCTTATCAACGGACTCCGCATCGCCATCGAGCTCGGTGCTATGCAACTCTATGTCCGTGGAGACTCGGAACTAGTCATTGATCAGGTCATGAAGGAGTCCTCCTACAAAAGCTCCCTCATGACAGCATATTGTCAAGAGGTGCGCAAGCTCAAGGACAAATTCTAGGGGATCGAACTGCACCACGTCCCTCGAAGGGACAATGATGCCGCCGATTTCCTCGCGAAACTGGCCCAATGAAGCCCAATGAATCGCTCGACGTGCCAAGACCTTCATCGTGCTCGGTAATGAACTCTACAAACGGAGTCCGTCAGGGGTACTCATGAAGTGTGTCCCCGCCAGCCGGGGGAAGCAGATCCTCCTCGAGGTCCATGTCAGGATCTACGGACATCACGTGGCCCCAAGGTCTCTGGTCGAAAAAACCTTTCGCCAAGGTTTTTACTGGCCCACCGCTCTATGAGATGCAGAGGAGGTCATCCGCAGGTGCGAAGGATGCCAGTTCTACGCTCGACAAACCCATTTACTGGCGCAGGAGCTCCAAACCATCCCAATCACCTCGCCATTCGTGGTCTGGGGTCTCGACATGGTGGGACCCCTCAAGAAGGGCCCAGGCGGCTTCACTCACCTACTTGTAGCAGTCGACAAGTTTACCAAGTGGATAGAGGCCAAGCCCATCACCAACATCCACTCGGAAGAAGCGGTCAAATTCTTCCTCGACATCATCTACCGATTCGGCGTTCCCAACTACATCATCACTGACCACAGGACTAACTTCACCGGGAAGAAGTTCCTGGACTTCAGTGATGGGTACGACATCAGAATTGACTAGGCCTCGGTCGGACACCCGCGTACCAACGGTCAGGTCGAGCGTGCCAATGGCATGGTCCTCCAAGGACTTAAGTCACGCATCTTCGACCGACTCAACAAGTACGCCGGGTGATGGGTTGCAGAGGTTCCAGCGATCCTTTGGAGCCTAAGGATGACCCCAAACCGATCCACGGGATTCACACCTTTCTTTCTAGCTTACGGAGCCGAGGCAGTATTGACCTCCGACCTCGACCACGGCGCACCAAGAGTGAAGGCTTTCGACCGCGACCGAGCCATGGAGGCCCAACAAGATGCAGTCGACCTGCTCGAAGAAGCCCACGAGACGACCATCATCCTCTCCTCCCGCTACCAACAAACCCTCCGCAGGTACCATGAAAGGAAGATCAGAGGAAGGATACTCAAAGTCGGCGATCCCGTACTCCGGAGGACCCAATCAACGAAGGAAAAACACAAGCTCTCTCCACCATGGGAAGGACCCTATATGGTAGCCGAAGTAATCCGACCGAGCACCTACCGACTGGAGGACAACAACGGCAACGTTCTTAACAATACCTGGAACATTGAACAGCTACGTCGTTTTCCCCCTAAATTTAGTCTAAACCGCTTTTTAGTTAAAACATGCTCCCGTAAGAGCACCCCTGCCTGAAACACTTTCAGCCCAGGTCACTCGGGGGTTCCATAAGGGTACAATATTGAATATTACCTCTCTTTCTTTTTTACTATCACACGATAAAATAACTTTGCCCCCAAACGGAAACACATTCCATTCCTCTGATTACCTTACGTAACTCTGTTCTTACCCCCAATCGGACGCACCCCGCCTTTCCCTATGGGTACGAACAGCCAAGCCTCGCGGGCCACGCCCCGGGCTCCCAAGGTTGCACCCCACGGGACAAACAGGCAGGTACGACAAGAAAGAAAGGATAAAAACAAAAGTTATGCTAAGATAAACACAAGGAACGAATATTGTGGTTCTGTCACAAGGGCAGCACGGATGTATTCATCGATACAGAAAACTATTCACACACACAGGGACTCACCCACAAACTTAACTATTACATTCTCTACTGCTACAAATACTACTGTGGCCGCTCAACGACATCGCCTGGAAGCCAAAGAAGAAACCAGATGCAACCACTAGGGACCCGCTCGGCTCCACTCCTTTGACTTCAGCAAACGCAATAGATACCTCCAGGGCGTCGCACCTATAGATGCTCAGTAGAAGAACATGGAGCTCCTGACCTTCTCATG